TTGTTGTTGTTATTGTTATTGTTATTGTTGTTGTATTATTGTTATTTATAATTTGTACAAATAACCTCCCTGTGGTTCGACCCCGGTCTTGCCGGGTTATTTATTACTTCGACACTCCTGCACTTAGGAGAAGACATCAATCTTTTAGTCGTGTCAAAAATCCTATATGATTCTTTCTATGTAGCCTGAAAATATACTCATTATGCATATTCAAAAAGTAGCATGTGCGTTGCAGATGCCAAAAAACATTTTTTTATATGAAAAAGTATCGAAGGAGCAAATTAAAATAATATTTTTTTGATCTTTTAGTTCAATAACAATACGATTATAACTATTATCCATTAAGAAAGTAATAATGAGACTTACTTGTTAATATGTTAAACATTTGATCCTTGAAATTTGAAGAAAAATAATCATTATACATGGTTAAGTTGAGTTTGGTTATATCTTTTTATCTAAAATGAATTCATATTTATGACTTATTATTATCTTCAATTTATTATCATTACTCAAATCAAATATTTATTATACAAATAATCTATAATATCCAATCATATAATAAAATATACATCACTAAAAAATTAGATGAAATTAACAAAAAAAATTCAATTATTTCATCATCAAACTCTATAGTTAGTCGTATGCATATGTCTTATGGAATGTTCTTCCTAAAAGACCATGGGCATTTAATCATTTGATTATGAAAAGAATGACAGTTTTTCCATGGGCATGTAATCATTCCTTTTTGGTTTCGACAGAAAACTGACCTATTATTATTATTATTATTAACATATTTCCTTAAGATTTAGTCCTTGATTGTGCCAATTAAGCAGATCAATTCAATCTACCTTATATGTGTCACACTTAAGCAGATTTAGTCCTTATGAAAGCTTATTGTAAAATCTACCTTATATGTGTCACACTTCATCAATTCAATCTAATTGGACTGAATTTCAACAAACTATGACGAGTTTACCCTATAAGGTCTGCCGATGTTGTTTACAATTTCTTATCGTTGGGCTAAATTAATGGAGTGTGATGAGAGTAAATTAGATGAAGTTTTTTAAGGGACTTATTTGCCTAATTACACAAACACAGTAGTTAAATTAAGGGACATCCCCATATTTCACTGGTTCAAGAACCAGCTTCTTCTTTTTTTATTTTTTCGCAAAAGCATGGATGAAAATCAAGCATTCTATGAACTGTATACATGCATTTCAACAAAGCAAATATTATATTATATCTTTTAACTTCGCCTTTTTATCCGATCACATTTTTATTTTCTCCATGTTTATCTCCAACACAACCTCAAGAAACAGCCTACCTATGTCTGTCCATACATTAGTTCGAAAGGTGAACAGCATTTACACATATATCTTACAAGCGAGCTACATTCTCAAATTTGTTGGTATTAGCTAGGGTGTCGTTGTATGCGCATGAAATTTGTGGCTACTCTACATGTCTCGTGAACCAACAGGGACCCAACTATTCACAATGGTATTTTAAAGCCAGCAAGGGAACAAACTCGATAAATGTAAGAAAACAAGGGGGAGGTGGATGAAGGGTAGAGCTAGAGTCTTCCCTTATCTGCCTGTAAATTTACCTCCTTTTGAGCTGTTAAATGGTAGGAAATACACCCTCATTCACTGCTGCTAGTTTGCAGTTGACTGGTTTTTGCATGAATGACATAAAGATTATTGGTGGGTGAGACTGTATATTATTCATTCACATCTCAAACAGCTATAATAGAACATAGGACACGGCACATCAGTAATAGAGAACAAGTGTCGAGCTTGGCTCAACTTATAAAGAGTAGACACTGCCAACTCTTATTCTTCTCTAAAATCAGAGATCGTAGAGAGAGAAGAAGAATACTCATAATGCCTTGGTTTTTCATAATATTGCTTCTCGGTTTCACATTTGCTAACCCCACAGAAGCCAGCCATGGAAAGAAACTTCCATCTGCAGTTGTTGTTGGCACCGTCTACTGCGACACGTGTTTCCAAGAGGATTTCACAAGGAACAGTCACTTCATTTCAGGTTCTTTTCGACAACTTCCTTAATTATTGGATTAACATTAATTTTCACGGGTTACGTTTTGCAGTGTGATATAGAAAATGATTCTGGGGGCTTTGTATGCAGGTGCACGTGTTGCTGTAGAATGCAAAGATGAGAAATCAAGACCAAGTTTCAGAGAAGAAGCGAAAACAGATGAGCATGGAGAATTCAAGGTTCATTTGCCTCTCTCTGTGAGCAAACATGTAGAGAAAATTAAGAGGTGTTCAGTGGAGTTACTAAGTAGCAGTGAGCCTTATTGTGCTGTGGCATCCACAGCAACTTCATCATCACTTCGTCTCAAGTCAAGAAAGGAAGGAACACACATATTTTCAGCTGGTTTTTTCACCTTCAAGCCTGAAAAACAACCGTTCTTATGTAATCAAAAACCAAGTATAGAAAATTCCCGGGAATTCAGTTCCAAAGAAGCCTCTCTACCTCCCTTTGATAACCCAACATTTCCACCTCCACTTCAAGACCCGGAAACACCTGTTCTTCCTCCTCTTACTCCGCTTCCAAAATTGCCACCATTACCGCAACTCCCTCCTCTCCCACCTCTTCCAGGGCTACCTCTTCTTCCACCAATTCCAGCAAATACGGGAAAGACCAAAACTACAGAATCTCATAAGAGCACAACATTACCAGATGAGAAAGCGGTGCACCATCCTAATCAGTTTGGCTTCCCAACACCACCACTTTTTCCACCAAACCCTTTTCAGCCACCTCCAATATTGCCTCCAATAATTCAGCCACCTCCACTATTTCCACCCATACTTCCTCCTAACCCACTTCAGCCTCCTCCAGCACCATTCCTTCCGTTGCCACCAATCCCTGGCCTAACTCCATCACCACCACCTCCCTTCTCACTTTTTCCTCCTCTGCCTCCTCTCCCTCCACTCCCTCCTCTCATCCCTGGAATCCCCCCAGCTTCTTCATCTTCACAGAAAACATCTCCTTGACTGAACAGTGAAAACTATCTAGCTATCACTGCATAGCTTCCAAAAACAACTATCTATGGCTTTTAAACCCGGAATTTACCTTTTCTTGATTACTTTTCTTTCTAGTGGAGCTCTGCTTGTTGTCTAGTAGTGTATTTATGTATTTTGTCAATAAAAGATCACAGAAATTATTGCACTAGAATCTAATAAGCTTTCAGTCATCAGCCAGGCTTTACAAATGTATACTTCCGTGACATATATAATTAGAAATGTTTGAGGCATTAGCTACTTTGGTTAAATCATTTACAGAATGTAAAGTTGTAATCCTTGAACAGTGGCATACCTCCACTTAACCTTTTGCCATGAAATGATTCAAGCTTTTAGCCAATTTAGGATGTGTCGTAAGATGAATTTAACATGTTATTGGGACATCTTCTGTTTCCTTCAAGACAGAATAAAGCGCGCTCAGCTTTAACTTGTTTTTAGCATTGAATGCTCCAAGCAGACAACAAATTAATCATTGGTGTTGAAGGAGAAAAATTATATCCTTAAAACCTGGATAATGTAGCAGGACCTAAAACATAATGTTTCAGGATAACAACACTTGAGATGTTTAACAGCTAACTCAAATGGCCTATGGCTATGAAACCAAGTCAAAGGTTAAGCTAGTTTTACACAATTCATACACTCTGAATTCTCTCCTCTGCCACATATTTGGTCAATCTCTTAGCCAAAGCCCAAAGGCATAGTTTCTCTGGAATTTCTTTCAGCCCCATCCCATGAGATTTGTTTTATTTTTTGCTGAAAGAGTTCTCAAGAGGAAAACATTAACAGAAATAAAATCTGCAGAAAAAATGAATCACAAACTCCTTTTTTTTCATTTTATGAAATTCAGCCGAGTTTTTTTATAGGAGAGTACAAAGTTTTATCCAATAAAGAAAATGGAGTCCCTTGTGATCGCATAGTAAGAGACTCCATTTTCTCTCTTGGAAAAGACAATGAGCTTAATTTGTTGATCTCGGGAACTCTAAATTGCTAAAATAATGAGCTTCATAGTGATAAAACTGAATCTTTCACTCCCTTTCTCTGTTTTTTTTTTTTTAATTTATACTGAAAATCAGTACTAGTGGTCCACTTGGAAGGCTCAAACCGAGCTATAGAAAGATGAAAGCTCAAGATGCCAATTCAACCAGTTTTTTTATTCGTTGATCCAATGCAAGTAAGCCAAGTGCCTTAAGTCAATGTTTAATTACATACATAGAACTTGTGGTCTTTTGACTCTGAGCCCCTATATAAACTTGTCTAAATCATACATGTTGTATATGATCAACGGCTTAATAAACTGCAATGGAAGTTCCACACACTAACAGCACCTCTTTCAACACAGACTCTAGTCTGCTAATGACAAACCAACTCTTGCTGAAAGAGATTGAAAAAGGGTCAAGTTTTGTGTCATCTCCTTTGTCATTCCATTTGACTTTGAGCCTTGTCGCTGCAGGATCAACAGGCAAGACTTTAGAGCAGCTTCTTTCTTTTCTGGGGTCAGAGTATTTGGAACTCAATCAGTTGCATCGCATATTGCCAGGATTACGCTGCCTGCCGAGGAAAGTAATTAGCAAAGTAGCTAGGTGCTGTTGTTTTTTACATTCAAAAGTACTTTATCTTCATAGGTATTTAGCTAACGCTAATTAATTTGCAGAAAAAAACTGGAAAGAAACGTGCCAGAACATCAGATCCAACATTGTTGTTCATTAGTGGTGGTAGGGTCGATCAATGTTGCAGATTGAATCCTTCTTTTGAAGGGATTGTACGAGAGGTCTACAATGCTCAAGCTGAAGTTGACTTTCTAAACAAGGTTCTTTTTCTTTCTTGCTTTTTTTATGTTAACCATATACGGCAAAAAGAGCCTAAAATGCTTGGTCTAACAATAAATATATGTTATGATTGTCCCTCAAGCCTGATGAAGCAAGAGAAGAGGTGAGTTTGTGGGCTGAAAGAAAGACGAGAGGATTGATCAAGGAAGTCCTCCCACCTGGATCTGTAGATAACGATGCTGCACTGATCCTTGCCACCACAATATACTTCAAAGTAGCATGGGATCAAAAGTTTGATGCGTCAAGGGCCCAGCTTGGTGACTTTCACCTTCTGAATGGGCAAATTGTTCAAGTTCCTTCCTTGGCTGGTTTAGGATTTGAAGAGCATCTTTATTGATCCTTTGAAGCTCACAAAGTGCTTAAACTGCCCTACCAAACTGGTCTAGGCACCAGGCAATTTTCTATGCATTTCTTTCTTCCAGATAAGAAAGATGGTTTGTCAAATCTGGTCAAAATGATCAATTCTAAACCTGGATTCTTTAATCAGCAATTCAATCTGTGGAAAGTAGAGCTTCCTAAATTTAGAATCCCCGAATTCAAGTTCTCTTCCGAGTTTGAGGCCAAAGAAACCATGAAAGGAATGAGACTTGATCTACTGTTCAAACCCGGGGGCTCTCGAAAATGGTTGAATCTCTTGACAGTAGAGACTTTTTCTTTCTAAAGTATATAAGAAGGCATGCACTGAAGCTGCCGCTGCCGCGGTTGCCATAATCAAACAACAATGTCCCAGGTATCCGATTACAAGTTTTGTGGCTGACCATCCTTTCATGTTCATGGTAAGGGAAGAAGCTGCTAGAACTGTGTTCTTCACTGGAGCTGTGCTCAACCCACTATCCATGTCTTGAAACATAATCTGATGATCACGGTTTTCATTGTACAATTAAGAAATAAAATTTATGTAGTTCGCTTGTATGATGCTGCCAATGTCTACTTGATTTCACCTTCTTACATAGTGTAAAATGCCATAACAATGGTTAAAGTGGTTATCAATAAGAGTTCTCCACTAAAACTTATGACCTATCACGTCTACTGATGTAAAAACTGCTGTTTCATCATCTAGACCATAAATGTTTCTCTTCATGGTTAAAAATTCAACTTTGCCAACGCAAAAACTTCTCCTGCCTCTTTATCTGCCTTCTTTGGCTATCATCGAGGTAAGGCGGTTGTAAAAGCACAAATACTCTGCTTCCCCTTCCCTGTCATGCCTTGGCTGGTCTTTCATAAGTCGAAATCGTAGTTTCTGTAAAATTTCTTTCAGCTCTGCGGATTGGTTTTATTTTTAGACTTGGAATACTTTATGCAATCATCCAAAACTACGTACCTATGTAGTAGTCTCAAGAAGTTTATACTGGGACCTCTAGTTTTCGGCACAGGATATCTGTCGTCTGCTATTAGACGACACACCAAATGCATGTCACTCAGCCAACACCGAGCATGTCATACGGGACGTTGTAGCCAACACTACACAGGACATGTAGGATGTTAAATAATGATTTACACATCAGCCACTTGCCACTCTAGCAGCTGTAACGAGATTTATAAATACAACATAATAATTTTTTTATTTTTCTTCTCTCATTTTGTTATGAATATAGAACGATATAGTATGTTAAAAGTTGTTATACCAAGTTATATATAAATACACGATGCTTCATGTAAAGAGGTAAGATTGTAGTGAATTATAAGATTTTGTCCTTCATGTAAATTCTCTCCTTCATCTTTTCACATCCTCTTCAGTTCATTTCATGGTATTAGAGCTACAGAGAATAATATCCATAAAAGATTTCTCATAATATCAATCTTTACCAAATATGCATATTAACTCAAACACTACCTATGCAACAACCACTTAGCAGTATTTGAATCTTAACAATCACAACAACCCCCTTTCAACTAGACACTAAAGACAACCCAACCATAATCCTAGTAACAGAGCTACTTAATGGCGACAACTATACAACTTGGTCTCGTGTAATGCAAAGGGCTCTTCGGGCCAAGAATAAACTGGCATTTATCACAGGAACCATCAACCAACCAACTGATCAAGCAAACCCTCTTTTTGATTTACTTGAACGATGTAATGACATGGTGGTTTCATGGCTTCAGAACTCTATCAGCACTTCTATCAGATTTAGCATTGCATTTGTTAACAGTGCTCGAGATATCTGGCTTGATCTACAAGATCGTTTTTCACATCAAAATGGCCCACACATTTATCAGCTGAAGAAAACCTTAGCCAATCTATCCCAAGAAAATGATAATATCAGTATTTACTATGGTAAGCTGAAAACCATTTGGGATAAAACATTAATTTACGATCCTATTCCATCTTGTAACTGTGGTGCCATAAAGATTATCTCTGATCGTTATCAGCGAGATTATGTCTTCCAATTTTTAATGGGATTGAATGACTCTTATTCTGCCATACGGGACAAAATCATGTTGCTTGATCCCATTCCTACCATTGCTCGCGTCTTTTCCATCATTCAGCAACAAGAATGCCAGCATCAACTTGCTTCTCCTTCCACACAACATGATGCTATGGCTTTTACAGTCAGAAGACAGTCTTCATGTCCTGCCAAATACCCATTCCACTCTAAGTTCACAAAGGAATGCACCTATTGTACCCACTGCAAAATTACTGGGCACATGCTGGACACTTGTTTCAAGGCTAGCAATGCTGCAGCTCCCATTTGTTCTCATTGCAATCTCATTGATCACATAATGGAAAAGTATTATAAACTACATGGCTATCCTCTAGGCCACAAACTCTTCGCTAAACCTAGAGGTGCACATGTTCTTGCAGCACAATTAACTCTAACTCCTGCTGATAATTCCAACAATGTTCGGATAAGTTTGACTTAAGCACAATATCACCAACTCATGGCTTTGCTTCCCTCAGGACCCTCTTCCCCTACTCAGCCCTTGACTCTACTTGATACCTTTTTCTCTCCTTCCATATCTAGTATCAATTTTTGTTTGAATGCTCATGCACACACTAATCTTTCTCTTTCTGATGCACCTTAGATCATCGATACAGGAGCCACAGACCATATGGTCTGTTACACCTCCTTTTTCATTACCATTACCTCTGTTATTTCTTAGCCAGTTGAATTACCAAATGGCACACATGTTTTTGTCACACACGTTGGTGACACGACCAAAATATTGATGTCTTCTCCCAAGTGCAGGAGTGTCGAAGTAATAAATAACCCGGCAAGACCGGGGTCGAACCACAAGGAGGTTAATTGTACAAATTATAAAAAAAAATTATAAAACAACAATAACAACAACAACAATAGTAATAATAATAATAACAATAATAATAATAATAATAATAATAATAATAATAATAATAATAATAATAATAATAATAATAAT